GTTTTAGAAGTAATGATTATGGATGATAGATCCACCAATTCACATCACCTTACTACTCTTGCTACTCTTCTGGTAGCTTGCTATCCTCAATTTTAACAGTAGTTTATAAAACAAAAATATCTATTAGAATATTTTGATCTCAATCGGTGAAAACACACACATGAAATTGTCAGATAGAAAACTTCACAAGAGTAATGGAGACTTTTTTGTGATATTGAATTGCCAAAAGTCGTAGCAGAATCTCAATAACAGCAAGGAGCAAATCTCCTGATTTCCTTTAGATCACGTAACTAATTATTCCATGTACAAGTAGGGAGTCATAGCTACTTGTCTCCAACATTTTTAAGTATCATTATTGTGGTTATCACTTCAAGTTTATATGCTCTATATTTTCCCTGCAAATTTACACTTGTAATGAACTTATAAATAAATAAATCTTCCTCCTTTCCTGAGCTTTCAGTGTTCCAATATCCTGCACATTCAGAACACAGGAACAATAATCTCCAGAAGTTAGAGCTGTAAATTAAGAAAAGATTCACAGACCAAACTGGTTTTCAGTGGAGCTAGGATTGCTTGGTGATGTAACTCGGGTCTTGAAAATGCTGTACAAAAAATATAAGCAAAAATAAGGTGACAAGGCCTTTCACATAAAACGAGTGTCTAAAAGCATTTCACATTCATGGTAGGAAACACCAAGCAGAGAGAGTGTGGACCAAAAGCACAGTTGAAAAAACTTTTTAGGTGGGCTTTGAAGGCAGGAAGCGAGAAGGCGAGGCAAAGAGATTTTGAAAGCTTCTTAGTTATTTTGGATTGCAAATGTTTTTCTTCAATTATGTTACATAGTTTATTGTGCTTACATAGATCAGCTTAAAATATTGTGACGCATTTTGTTGGTTTAGCCTGACAATCTTTGTTGTACTAGCTATAGTTTCCACCTTGCCAAGTACGATTAGTGACATTAGAGGAATGTAAGCTTGATTTAGCAGTACATATTGACTCAGTGCAGTGTTGGGGGAGGCACTTCATTGTCCTTTGGATGAGATGTTAAACCATGATTCTGTCTGCTCATTCAGGTGCATGTTACAGAATCCGTGGCACTATTCTGAAAAAGTTTCTCCTGATATTCTGCCAACAGTTCTCCAGTTAAATTGGTCATTCAATGTGTGAATCCAGTTTATCCAGCATTGCTATAAGCAAATTGGCTGCTGGTAGACATTAACTGAAGCCCAGATTTTTGAACACTTACTCATATATCCAGGGATTGGAATCCACCAAGCTCCGCATCTCCAACTGGTGGAAGCCCCCCATCACTCAATGGATAAGGATATGAGTCCCAAGTTGTGGGCAGAAAAACAGTGACAATGTTTTCACACATTTCATGCTGAGCTATGTTGATTGCCAGGAAGCTCTCAGAGAATTCCTGGTACTTGCCATCCAAGGGTTTAAACTTGCACTTATCAAATGTAGCCTTGAAAGTGAGGACGAGGATCTTGAATTTGATCCTCTGAGGATTGAGGGATGGGGAGCCAGTGGAGTCGGGCAAGGGTGGGAGCAATGGGGTCATGGAGCCTGGTGCGTGAGAGTACATGAGCTGCAGAGTTTTGGATGATCTGCAGCTTGTGAAGGGAAGAGTTGGGAAGGCCAATGAGGAGGGAATTTTCATAATCGTGCCTTGATGTGACAAACACGTGGGTAAGGATTTCGGCAGCCTGAGGGGTGAGGCAGTGGCGGAGTCTGGCAATGTCGCGGAAGTGGTGGTAGGCAGTGCTGGTCATGGCGTAGATGTGGGGGAGAAAGGACAGTTCAGGGTAAACAAGACACCCAGGTTCCTGACTGGCTGAGTGAGGTTGAGTGTGCAGCCGTAGATGCTGATGCTGTTAGTGCCCTAAGTGTGGAAGCACTGGTGCAAGCCAATCAGGAGTGTCCCGGTCAGCTGAAGAAAGTTGTCCCTCCTCCAGGACTTGATGTCAGACTGGCAGTCGGTCAGGACGCCAGTAGCCCTGGAATTGAGGGTGAAGGCAGTGAGATAGAGTTGGGTGTCATCCGCCCACATGTGGAAATTTACCCCATATCTGTGGAGTCCTGTGGCGCAGTGGTTAGAGCACTCGCTTTGCAAGTGAGAGACCTGAGTTCAATTCCAGGCAGAAGGCGAAACCTTGGACAAGTTTCCTTACTCCACACAGAGCCTAATAATAATCTCTCCAAAAACAAAAAAACAATAATAAAATTGGTCATTTTCAATCCACGACTGTTTGTCGGACATTGCTGTGCGCAATTGGCTGCCGCGTTCGCCCACAAATATACAGTCAGTTCACTTTACAGTGTGTTCTGTGAAGCGCTTTGGGACGTCCTCCCAACATGAAAAGCGCTATATCAAATGCAAGGATTATTATTACACCAAGGGGTAGCATGTAGAGGGTGAAGAGGAGGGGACAGAGGACAGAGCTCTGAGGAACACCGCACGAGACAGTGCAGGGGCTGAAGGAGAAGCTGTTTGCAGACATGAAGTGGAGGCAGTGTGAAAGGTAGGACCTGAACCAGTGAAGGACAGAACCTTGGAGATTGAGGTGGAAGGAGAGGTGGTGGAGGAGAATTGAATGATCCACAGTGTCAAGAGCGGCAGAAAGGACGAGGAGGCAAAGGGAGCCCTGGTCACACATGGTCAGGATGTCATTTGTGACCTTGATCAGAGCAGTTTCTGTGCTGTGGGCAGCATGGAAACCCGATTGGAGGGGCTCATGGAGGGAGTGGGAGGAGAGGAAAGAGAGAAGCTTGGGGGCAACGGCTCTCTCAAGGACCTTGAACAGAAAAGGAAAATTTTAAATGGGCCGGTAGCTGGATATCTGTGTTGGGTCAAGGGAAGGTTTCTTCAAAGTGGGTGATAGTGGCTGTTTTGAGGGGGGTAGGAACAGTGCCAGATGACAGCGGGAGGTTGATGATGTCGGCGAGTAGTGGGGCAAGGAGGTGGAGCTGGGATCTAAGGAGAGGAGTGGGGATGGGGTCCAGGGAGCAGGTGGTGGGCTTCAAGGAGGATATGGTGGTGATGATAGAGGAGGGGGTGACAGGTTCAAAGGAAGGAGGGATGGGTTGTGGTCAGAGTGTGTGGGGGGTGGGTAGGGAGTGGGTGGAAGTTGGGAGGGCAGTGGCAGCTGATCGGATTCCCTTGATTTTGGATTCAAGGAAGTCCAGCATTTCCTCGCAGGGAGAGTCGAAGGAAAGGATCTGCGAGGCTTGGTGGGCAGAGGAGTCGGTTGGTGGTGGAGAACAGGGGCCTGGGGTTGCCCTTCGCCTCCAGGATTAACCTGGAACACAAGGACGATTTGGCCAAGGTGAGAGCGGAGCGGTAGGTTTTGAGGTGGTCCAGCCAGATGTGCCGGTGGACTGTTAGGCTGGATTTGAGCCAAGTGCATTCGACAGCCCGCACCTGGCCCTTGAGCAAGCGGAGGTAGCTGGTGAACCAGGTGATTATTGGGAATAGGAGGCAGTTCGGGAGGTTAAAGAGGCAAGGGCGTCGAGTGTGGTGGAGAGGATGCTGTGGAGGACAGTAAATGCAGAGGATGGGTTGGTGTGGGAGGTGGGCCAGAGTGGGAGGACTCCAGGGCAGCGGAGAGGGATTGCGGGGAGATCCTTTTCGCCTCTAGGGAAAAAGTGTGCATTCCCTCTCACAGGAAAATTTTGATTTGTAGGAAGAATACATATGTAGAACTCTCAGATTATTTTAGGCATGGCAATAATAATCCTTGCATTTGATATAGTATCACATTATTATTATCCCTTATCATGTTACTGAGATGCCTCAAAGCGTTTCACAGGAATGTAAAGTGGTGTGTATTTTGTGAGTGAACGTCACAGCCATTATTTACATACAAGACATATGTATATAACACATGGAAATTCCCCTGTATCTAGAACAGAACGTGCACTTTTCTCCAAGGAAGCACTCACCCTACTTATCTGATTCCAGAGAGTATTATTATTATAAGTCAGAGTGGTTCAACGTTTTAGCTACTGAGGGCCTGATACCCTATCTGAGAAACTTCCGGGGGATGCTTAAGCAACATTTTCCCTTCCTGAAACATTACATCACTTTTACGGTTTATGGAAAGAGCGATGAAATAGAGGGAGGGGCCGGATGGTCCATTTGGAACACCCTGTATAATATAATTTATAATGACGGGGTGGGGGTTGCCTCTGCATCTGGCACTTTCAAAGCCCTCCGTGGTCTTGTTCCCCCCCCTTACCTCTGTGACCTCCTAGTCCCCTACCAACCTGCCCACTCCCTCCGCTCAGCGGGCTCCGGCCTGCTTCACATCCCCCACCTCACCATTGGTGGGCGGGCGGCGGCGGGCGAGCCTTCTGCCACTCTGCCCCTACCCTCTGGAACTCCATCCCGCAGTCCCTCCACCTCGTCCCCTCCCTCGCCTCCTCCCTCGTCCCCTCCCTCGCCCCCCTCCCTCGTCCTCTCCCTCGTCCCCCTCCCTCGCCCCCCTCCCTCGCCCCCTCCCTCGCCCCCTCCCTCGCCCCCCTCCCTCGCCCCCCTCCCTCGCCCCCCTCCCTCGCCCCCTCCCTCGTCCCCCTCCCTCGTCCCCTCCCTCGCCCCTCCCTCGCCCCCTCCCTCGCCCTCGCCCCCTCCCTCGCCCCTCCCTCGCCCCCTCCCTCGCCCCCTCCCTCGCCCCCTCCCTCGCCCCCTCCCTCGCCCCCCTCCCTCGCCCCCTCCCTCGCCTCCTCCCTCCCTCGCCTCCTCCCTCCCTCGCCTCCCTCCCTCGCCCCCTCCCTCGCCCCCTCCCCCGCCCCCTCCCCCGCCCCTCCCTCGCCCCCTCCCTCGCCTCCTTCCAGACCCTCCTCTTCGACCATGCTGTTGATCGCCCCGCTTCCCCAATCTCGACCCCCAGCTCGGGTCCCAAACACTGACTGTCCACCGTCTTGGGACGTCGTCCCGACGTGAAAGGCACTTCACAAATGTAATTCTGCTGCTGTTGTTGTTGTTGTTGTTTCCTCACCTGCCCTGGCACCAGGCTATCTGTGCGCATGCTCACTGACGAGAGCGTTCAGCCCGCGCATGCTCAGTACGGCGGGCGGGCGGGCGGCCGCCCGGCGGCGCTCATGAGGCGTGTGTTCAGCTCCTATCACGTGAGCGCATGTCCAGTCTGTGTGTATGTGGGGGGAGGGAGGAGAGGGGGCTGTGCGCATGCTCAGGGGCGGCACCAGGTGGCTGAAGGGAACCGCGCATGCGGACCGGGGAGGAGGGTGGGGGGGGGGTGTCGTGCCTGGGCGGCGGAGGCGCGCCTGCGCGGTGGGAGGCGGGGCGGCCGTTAGGCTCGCGCACGCGCGGTGTTCGTCGCTCACCTGTGAGCGTTTCCCCCGTCGTACAGTGTGTGGGTGAGAGGGCGCCGAGTCTCCGCCGGACACACACCGGCACAGCGCCCGCCCCCCGCCCCCCCCCCCCCCGACACCGCACCACACCGCACCGCACCCGCTCACACCGGGGAGCACATACCGGGCGAAGATGATGAGGTTTCTGCGGAGGACGTTCGGGCGGCGCTCGGTCCGCCGCTACATGGACGAGCGGGACGGCGGCGGCGGGAGAGGCCGGGACGGGGCTGGAGGGGCAGTGGGGGGGAGAGGTGTCGGCGGCGCCGCTGGAGGTCGGGATTTTGCAGCGGGCGGTGCTGGCGGCGGGTGCGGGACCCTTGTGAGCGGCGGGGCCGCCGTGCACATCCCCGCGGCCGGGAGCAACAAGTCGGTGCTGACCTGCAGGGTGCAGCTGCTGGACGGGACGGACGTTAGCGTGGAGCTGCCTGTGAGTGTCCGCACCCGCACCCACCGCACTGCCCTCACCCGCACCCACCGCACTGCCCTCACCCGCACCCACCGCACTGCCCTCACCCGCACCCGCACCCACCGCACTGCCCTCACCCGCACCCGCACCCACCGCACTGCCCTCACCCACCGCACTGCCCTCACCCGCACCCACCGCACTGCCCTCACCCACCTCACTGCCCTCACCCGCACCCACCGCACTGCCACCCACCGCACTGCCCTCACCCACCGCACTGCCCTCACCCGCACCCACCGCACTGCCACCCACCGCACTGCCCTCACCCACCGCACTGCCTCACCCACCGCACTGCCCTCACCCGCACCCACCGCACTGCCCTCACCCACCGCACCCACCGCACTGCCCTCACCCACCTCACTGCCCTCACCCGCACCCACCGCACTGCCCTCACCCACCTCACTGCCCTCACCCACCGCACTGCCCTCACCTGCACCCACCGCACTGCCCTCACCCGCACCCACCGCACTGCCCTCACCCACCTCACTGCCCTCACCCGCACCCACCGCACTGCCACCCACCGCACTGCCCTCACCCACCGCACTGCCCTCACCCGCACCCACCGCACTGCCACCCACCGCACTGCCCTCACCCACCGCACTGCCCTCACCCACCGCACTGCCCTCACCCGCACCCACCGCACTGCCCTCACCCACCGCACCCACCGCACTGCCCTCACCCGCACCCACCGCACTGCCCTCACCCTCACCCACCGCACTGCCCTCACCCGCACCCACCGCACTGCCCTCACCCTCACCCACCGCACTGCCCTCACCCGCACCCACCGCACTGCCCTCACCCACCTCACTGCCCTCACCCACCGCACTGCCCTCACCTGCACCCACCGCACTGCCCTCACCTGCACCCACCGCACTGCCCTCACCTGCACCCTCCTCACTGCCCTCACCCGCACCCACCGCACTGCCCTCACCCACCTCACTGCCCTCACCTGCACCCACCTCACTGCCCTCACCCACCTCACTGCCCTCACCTGCACCCACCTCACTGCCCTCACCCACCTCACTGCCCTCACCCACCTCACTGCCCTCACCCACCTCACTGCCCTCACCCACCTCACTGCCCTCACCCACCTCACTGCCCTCACCCACCTCACTGCCCTCACCTGCACCCACCTCACTGCCCTCACCTGCACCCACCTCACTGCCCTCACCCACCTCACTGCCCTCACCTGCACCCACCTCACTGCCCTCACCCACCTCACTGCCCTCACCCACCTCACTGCCCTCACCCACCTCACTGCCCTCACCCACCTCACTGCCCTCACCCACCTCACTGCCCTCACCCACCTCACTGCCCTCACCTGCACCCACCTCACTGCCCTCACCTGCACCCACCTCACTGCCCTCACCCGCACCCACCTCACTGCCCTCACCTGCACCCACCGCACTGCCCTCACCCACCTCACTGCCCTCACCTGCACCCACCTCACTGCCCTGGAGACCTGCAGCTTGTTGCTGCCCGGCCCCAGAGTTTCACACCAGCCCTCACCTGTACCTGTGTCCGCCTCTTGCCTGTTGTGGAGCCCTCCCTCCTCAGTACATGTTCCTCGTACCTGTTTCCCAGTCCCCATAGTTTGGCTAAAGTTAATCCCTCACTTGTAGTTGCCTGATTTCTCCTCCACCTGAATGCTTGAGTTCGCTTTCGTGATTTTTTGCGAATCGTGTTAAATGCAGCAAAGCCTATCTGTACAGAGTGGCAGAGCTCTGGGGCCGAAAATACTTTAGAAACGCTGGACTTCGATTCCTGCATTTTGTGCGTTTGGATGTTGCCAAACATACTGTTACCGTTGACATTGGACGGTGTTAACTTTAAATACGAGTGTGGACCAAGTCAAACAAACTCGAATTTCACTCGGAACTCCTCTTCGTCCAATTCACTCATTTAACTGAACCGTTTGAGGTGCGCACATCAGATGAGGCGGCTCTATATTCTGCTGACAGTGGGCGATGATAACCGAGGGAGAGGGGACAAACTGAGAGACCAGATATGAGTGGAGAGGTGGAAGGTTGTGGTAATGTGTGAGAGGGAGGAGGTGACGAGAAGTGGGAAGTGAACAGGTACGAATACACTCGGGAGGTCTTGCAATGCCGCTTTCGGCTGCTGGTCCCCCATCATTTCGATTATTCCTCGATTTGATGTGAACGAAACCCGTCTGTTTGCCGGTGGGGTGTCGGCTGCAATCGGCATATGTGGTATGTGTGGGGCGAGCACTTTGCACAGCGGTAGGAACTCCTGTTGGGCGAGATTTAGAAGAAACACGAAGACACGGAAGAGAGATCAATACTTGGACACCAGGGATCAGATAGACAGAGGCCATCCCTTTCCCTTTCTGGGTGGCGACGAAAGAGGGGCGAATGTGGGTGATTTTGACACGACATTGACTCGGGTTTACTTGCAACAATTGTCACCTTTGGTCTACCTTTGGTAAACCTCACAACCGGTCGATCGACTAAACCACTGTGACCCATTTGATGGCTCACAAGGAAGGAGCTGTGTTTACAGCAGCACTGCAACAACTTTGCCTTAAGTTCTCTTCTCTTTTTTCGTAAACTCTGATCCCATCACAGCTGCTGAATTTTTTTTCCCCCCCAACATTTTAGAACAAAGCCGGAAAATCTGTGCAACGCAACGCTGCACAAAACTTAACGAATCCTCGGTACATTTTCTGCCAGAGAGCGCTTTTTGTTTTGCAGTGCAGGAAATGGGTATCGATTTGTGGTGAGCGACGTGGGTGGATGTGTGGACATCTTTTCAGGATAGCGCAGTCCGGCGCCTTTTTGTGCACTGGTTTTAATTGCATCGAAACCTTTGATGCATGGGGTAAAATGGCAGCGGGTTTCACTAACGGTGCAAATGAGTGACTTTTTTTTTAAAAGAGGTGTCGAATCTTGTCTGGCAGCTGTTTTGTAAAGAGCTATCTCTTTAGGGGGGGTCACCTCTTGGTGTTGCCAACTCTAGAGCCCGCCTCCCCTCACAGGCATTGCTGTGGTTTCAGTGAGAGTTGACTCTGACTCTGACTGGGACTGGGACTGGGACTGACTGACTGACTGGTGAACAGCCAAATGGCATCACTGGATCCTATCAGCGCGTCTCACTCTCATACCATCGATACCTTTGTACCACAGATACGTGGAGACACAGGTGAATGGTTGGTTTTGAAATAGCGAGTGCAGGTTACAGTCGGTATGTCTCTCCCTCTCTCTCTCTCTCTCTCTGGTGATCAGGCTGGTGAGGGAGTGGAGTGGGGCAGCTCAGGGCAGCACAGAGCAGCTCAGGACAGGGCAGCACAGGACAGCTCAGGCAGCACAGCTCAGCACAGCTCGGGGCAGCACAGGGCAGCACAGCTCAGGGCAGCGCAGCACAGCACAGCTCAGCACAGCTCAGGGCAGCTCAGCTCAGGGCAGCACAGCACAGGACAGCTCAGGGCAGCTCAGCTCAGGGCAGCTCAGCACAGGGCAGCTCAGCACAGGGCAGCTCAGGGCAGCACAGCTCAGGGCAGCTCAGCACAGGGCAGCTCAGCACAGGGCAGCTCAGCACAGCTCAGGGCAGCACAGCACAGGGCAGCTCAGCACAGGGCAGCTCAGCACAGCTCAGGGCAGCACAGCACAGGGCAGCTCAGGGCAGCACAGCTCAGGGCAGCACAGCACAGGGCAGCACAGCTCAGGGCCAGCAGCTCAGCACAGCTCAGGGCAGCACAGGACAGCTCAGGGCAGCACAGCTCAGGGCAGCACAGCACAGGGCAGCACAGCTCAGGGCAGCACAGGGCAGCTCAGCACAGCTCAGGGCAGCACAGCTCGGGGCAGCACAGCTCGGGGCAGCACAGCTCAGGGCAGCACAGGGCAGCACAGCACAGGGCAGCACAGCACAGGGCAGCACAGCTCGGGGCAGCACAGGGCAGCACAGCTCAGGGCAGCACAGCACAGGGCAGCACAGCTCGGGGCAGCACAGGGCAGCACAGCTCGGGGCAGCACAGCACAGGGCAGCACAGCTCGGGGCAGCACAGGGCAGCACAGCACAGGGCAGCACAGCTCGGGGCAGCACAGGGCAGCACAGCACAGGGCAGCACAGCACAGGGCAGCACAGCTCGGGGCAGCACAGGGCAGCACAGCACAGGGCAGCACAGCTCGGGGCAGCACAGGGCAGCACAGGGCAGCACAGCTCAGGGCAGCACAGCACAGGGCAGCGCAGCACAGCTCAGCACAGCTCAGGGCAGCTCAGCTCAGGGCAGCTCAGCACAGCTCAGGGCAGCACAGCACAGGGCAGCACAGCACAGGGCAGCACAGCACAGGGCAGCTCAGCACAGCTCAGGGCAGCACAGCACAGGCACTCCTCGTTTTGCTGACGATCCGAGTCTGCAGTGGAGGAAGGCGAGTTTCGAGGGGGAGGAGCAGAGATCCAGTGATCTGTACGTGGGCTGTTTGTAAACCACCAGTAATTTAAATAAACACACACACACACACACACCCTCTCGCGGCTTCCATGGTCTTTTAAACTTCAGTGGTGGAATCAGTCCGATAGTTTATCTGAAACACGCCGTGGCTTCAGTGGAGACTAATTATGGTTTTCTGTGTGAATGTGTATTCCCATAATCGGAAACCGTGGCATTGCAATAGCGACCCGAGGAGGAGGGTTGGAGAGTCGGGTGAGGGAGTTTGTTACATGGTTCTGCTGTGGGTCCGAGGCCTAAATGACAAGAGTATCGGAAGGAAAGGTGGAACCCCACAGTATATCGCAGCCTTAAACACTCGCAAGCACTTTAATTTTGCCATTACAGTAGGAAGGATCTTCCCCTTTCCCTGCACACAGTCTACTGCCAAGTGTTTGCCTTTCTCCCTCTGTACTGACTCCTCCCAGATTGACTCCTGGTTTCCCTGTCCTGCTGCAGGGACAAACCGAGGGCACATCCCTGCTGCCATGACAAATTCCACTCTGCACAACACTTTTGGAACGGTTTGTGTCACCTTTTTATATTTTTTCTCTGAGGAGGGGAGGAGAAGTGCAAATTGGATTATTTTATTGTCGTTTCACCAGAAGATTGTTTATTTATTATCCCACTTTTCAGAAATGCAACATTGTAAAGGTGCCCCTGCTGTTTCAGTATATTTTATGTTGAAACTGGGGACAAAAAGGCTGCTTAATTTGGGTATACGGTAATTCAACATAACTCTTGCTCCATTGTTTACTGTGTATTTGAATATCTGGAGGCTGTTTGGTATTGTTTGTAGTATTAGGTGGAAGCTATTCATAGAATCATAGAATATTACAGCACACAAGGAGGCCATTCAGTCCATCCTGCCTGTGCCGGCTCTTTGGAAGAGCTACCCAATCCGTTCGCTGTTTCCCCATATCCTTGCAAGTTTTTCCTTTTCAAGTACCTATCTAATTCCCTTTTGAAAGTTGTTATTGAATCGGTTTCCACCACCATATTCAGTCCAACAATCCTGCTTAGTTCTTCACAGTATTGTAAAGACTTTAGGTGAGTGCCTGCAGAATTTTAAATTCCTGAATCTAATCTATTGCTTCATATCCTTGCTTTCTTAGCAGCCATCTACCTCCCTCTCAAACACCTCAACAGGTTCTTTATCTATGGGCCAATGTGGCAATGCATTCAATATTCTTGCAACCCATTGTGAGAAGATTTTTTTCTGTGTCCAATTTTAAATGGAGGAATTCATTAATATGATTTTTCCTTTTGTTCCTAAGACTTTGGATTGGAAGGTTATAGTGTGGGGTAGGCTTGTTCAAGATGCCTAATCTTACCTGTGTCATGAGGAAGGCATTATTCGTTCCAAATAAGGTTGTCTTTTGGGTGAGATATTAAACCGAGGTCCCATGCGTAAACTGGCTGCTGCATTTCGCCCACAAAATACACAGTCAAATCACTTTTGCAGGATACGCTATGAAGCGCTATGAGATGTTCTTCTGACGTCTGTATTGGAGGACAAGTCAGTCATCCACTGCTGTAACCTACTGAATGAGCAGTTACAGAGTGACGTATGTAGCTCTGAAAGTAACTAGAAGTAAGTTGACCCTCCCCTGATTTTTGAAAGCAAAAACTCTTCCACATTGCTATATTATGTGGGAGGGTGGTTTGGATTTTCTTAAGTTTCTGCATGTTTCAGGCACTAGGTTAACCCTAAAAAAGTGGAAAGGGAATATAGAATTAATTGATTTAAATTTTTCATGCATGGATACATTTAACACACAAAGGTTAAAACAGATTGCCTAGTTTCTCAGCGGATTGTTTTATAATTGAATAGTACATGTCTGAATTGACCTATACATAATTCATTACATGAGATATGGAGAAACAACAGTGTGCAAAATATAATATATGCATTGAAAACAATGGGGATGTAATCTATGATGACTACAACTGCTTGTCAGTTAATATGTGGTTTGTATTTAATAAAATATTGATTTTTCTTTAACAGTATTGATGGAAAATCACCAGATAAACTGGGGATATATTGAAATGAGAAACATTTCTGTTGGACCGAGAGACCATGCACAACACATTAAAATGCAATGTGGTTTTAAGTTGCAGTTTCATTGATGTTTGCTGATCTTCGCTTATCATGTCAGATCATATTATTCTGTCATTTGGAACAATAGTTGGTGTTTCGTACTCTTATTACATCATTAACTAAACACGTAACACTTTCTATTTTTTTTGTGTGAGAAGGACCTGTGAATGCTTCTGGATTCCCACATATTGTAAGTGTCCTCGATTCTAAATGCTGTTTAGAACCCAACCACCAGAGAACTACCTAATATCTGAAACGACCAAAAATACTCAGTCCTGGTATTTTGTTTGCATCTCACTTAGCCTGTGTTCTGCTAAATGCTCACTTTCCACATACTCTCACATTAACCCAACAGGCCATCGTAGAAGATCAAGTATAGTTTACAACAATAACACAAACTTGCAGTAGTGCACTTCACACAGGGTAGCATCTTGGAGCACTTAACAACAGCAGGTTGTCAATCAACAACAGGTGATAACTTGTCACTTCCCTTCTTGTAATTTTGAATTGTAATGCAAAATTGTGTTTTT